CACTGAGAGTTATTATTGGGCTATGATGGGCTTCATTCTGCACTAAGAATGAAGCATGAAACCCCCAAAACATGGAAGATAAATCCATGAGCATCACTACAGCTGGCACTCCCTGAGTCCTTATCATGTGTTATTAACCTTGAATAACCAGAAAGAAAAAAGGCAGTATTTAATATTGAGTGAAAATAACATTTACTCTTGACTTTGCCAACTCTTAACTTTTACATGAAAGCTCAATAATGTCTGGATTGACATTAGCAGATCATTTACAGCTAAATAAATTTTTCCATGAGCATAGATACTTACTAGTCTACCTCACCCCAATAAAAGGAGCCCAAATAATGCTGATTAGCTTTTCAATTCTCTTCACCCTTTTCAAATCAAGGAGGAAAGAAAAATTCCAGCCTAACAAAAATTATTTATACTTAGGAAAGTATCTTTGTTGGCATCAAAAGCTTAATACAAATCAGGGGTCTGATCAGCAGTTTTCCTAAGGCCTGGCAGGTTCAGTAGCCCAGGCTGCTGGAACTGGATATGAAAAAGAAAAAACAATCACAAAAATGTTTCCTTTCAGGAGGTAAATGGGGAATCTGAAATTAGGCACAATTGAGACAATTGTAGGGCAGGCCAGATCCCAACCCTATCGGGGTGGCACTTTGAAAATGAAAGCTTGTGAGCTACAGACAGTGAGGAACCATTAGAATACAAACCAGATATACGGTTGCTATAAGTTTGGATGAAAACTCAGGCTTAATCAAGCAGCTGTCATTCAAACTGGTTACTTGGTTGTCTCATAAATTTTTCAGGATTAAAGGTTTGGTCAACTCTTCACTTAAATAACTAACGTTTTTGATAAGGTGGTGATGAACAATTAATACCTGGGCCATACCACCTTGTAGCTGTCCTCAAAAAGCATCTGACAGATCAAAGACACCCTTAATTTCTGTCACTGGATAGGTACTGTTTATTTCTTGTAATTTTGTGCTAGACAGAAAGATCAGAGCAGTTAACAATTAAAATAAAAACAAGCCTAAGCTCTCACACGGGAAGGGTAGTTCAAAAGATAGGACCTCTGGGACAGTAAGAAGTCTATACCTCTATCGTTATAGAAGACTATAGCTAATAGCTTTGCTTGGGAGAGGTTGGGGAGGCAGGCAAGTAAGCACTAAAAAGAAACCCCATCCTCACTTTGCCTAGACCTGGAATGAAGACTTTAACATATAAGTACAAACACAAGTGTTCCCCAGCCTCCTTCCCTATTGCATGAAGCTTAATATTAGACCAAAGAAATTATATAAAAATAAAAACCAGAAAATTAGATTAAACCGAGGGCAATAGCATTAGGAAAAGCAGCATTTATATGCTGCACAGTCCAGAATTTAGCTTGTTCTCAATCAAGGAAAAGTCTTTGGAAAACAGGTTAATGGTACATGGTCTAGGTTGAAACTCAAAGCCCATAAAAGCAACAGGCTACCAGATGGCACTATATTCAAAGGCCTCAGGCAGACACAGTAACTGTCAGTTCATGAGAAAATTCCAGACCTCTGACATTAACTCCATGTCCTCAGTTAGTGTCCTCTGCTACTCCTTGTCACTGCAGTCCTCTTCTACCACTAATACCTATCCCAGCCCTCTGGGAAAGTCACTCACCCCCCTCCCCAACTTATGATCAGAATTAGGTGGGACAAATATGATGTCCACCAGAAGGAGAGCAGTTCCAGGCAATCTGGACATGAAACTACTCATCATTAGCTAAGAGCACACATTCAGTCCCAAACCCTGAAATAGAAGGGGAAATCTGCTCTAGAAAAGGAATACCTAGAAGGGCAGTAGGATATTAAGAGTATGGCCCAGGGCAAGGGAACCCCACTTTTGCACACAGAGAGGGAGAAAGAGAGAAAGAGAAAGAGAGAGAGAGAGAGAGAGAGAGAGAGAGAGAGAGAGAGAGAGAGAAAGGCCAGAGAGAACAGTCCTTGGGCTATTCTACTGACTCACAGGTTACTTCCCTCTATCAAGGTGATAGGAGGCAGGTAGTTGACTCTAAGAAGCTAGAGGTGACGTTTGGTATAATAACCTTTCCAAGAAAATAGGCTAAAATAAAATAACTTCATCTGCCAGTCTAAGCCCAATACAGGGATATCAGAGGACTAAGCCCCTAGGGAAATCCATTTTGACAGGTGTCCTGAAGACCCAGAAAATTAGCAGTAAAGGAGAACTGTGAGCATCTAGGACAGAAGTGAAGGGGGGCAGAAATTAGGAATGGGAACAGGGCTGTGGTGAAGGAAAGCATTACCCAAACATTTAAAGGGAACATGGCGGTTATTGGACTGGGATTGAGCCAGGAATCCACGTGAACCTTTCTCTTGAGAGAGTGCCCCTCCTCTGTTAGACTTGCCATCTAGAGTGATGACTAGGTGAGGGCTGTCTGACCACCTTCCCTTGCTCTGAAAAGGACAGGGCTCACTCACCAAGTGTTGCATCCGCACAGCCTCTACTGGATAGTCCCCTTTGGCAGTCTCTCCAGACAGCATGATACAATCAGCTCCATCCAGGACAGCATTGGCTACATCACTGCCTTCAGCCCGGGTGGGGCGTGGCTTCTTAATCATGCTCTCCAGCATCTGAGGAGATACCACAACAGTGACACCTGTCCCTGGTCTGCCTACCCCCAAAACCTAAGTCTGAACTTTTAGATAAGGGGGAAAAAAAAGGGCTGCCCCTGGGATTTCTTTGGTATAGGGAACCACTGGTGAGGACATATTCTCTAAACAATATAGATTGGTACCTAGTCTGCAACTTACAGTCATAGACCTGCCTGCAGCATGGAAACTTAGTCACTTAACCAGTGACGTGTCCAGGGTCAAACATTCAGCTTTTGTGGGAAGCAGGATTTGAAATCAGGTCTGACACTAAGGCTAGCTTTCTATTTGCTATTCCATACTGCCTCTTCAGTAAAACAGTCTAAAGTTAAATCATTTCATCTGACTTCTAATGTCTAGAATACAAGGAGACCAGAGAATTAAGTCAATGGGGAAACCCCACTGGAGTTTCCTTGATAGGCATCCTAAATGTCTAGAAAATTATAAAAGAGTAGGTAGACTGAACCAAATGAAGCCAACCTAACACTCAAAAAGTGCTTCTATCCCAAACAATTTATTAGACCTGGGATGAACCAGACAATATCAATAATGTACTATTGCTTTAAGGAAGTCCCAGAAGTAAGGTCTGTATTTAACCAAAAATCTATGCTTAGAGCTCTCATTGCCACTGAAGGGTGAAGGTGGGAGGGCAAAAAAGAAAAAGGAAATGGGAAGAATACCTGAGTGGCGCAAATAACAGGTTTCCCAACTCTATTACACCTTCCAATCATCATCTTCTGGGCAAGGAATACTTTTTCTGCAGGGATCTCAATACCCAGGTCCCCCCGAGCAACCATGATGCCATCACTGGCTTCCAGGATCTCATCAAATCTGACATCATAAAAAAGGGGAAAAAAAATTCATTTTTTTAAGGCTATAAGGACAATGTAAAGGTACAATAGAAAAGGACCGTAGATATCATGCTACAGGCAAGAACTGGGAATGTGAGAGAAGCTCTGTGGCTTCCTACTGACTGGGTAAGGCAATGAAGGCTATTTATTAGGAGGGCTAGATAGGCAGTAAGTCTCATTTTCTGACTACATGCCCCTGAACGAGATTACATTCTAAGATGACTTGATAGTTGGTCAGATAGTCTCTAAAGGTTATAGGATTTCTCCCTTAATTGAGGGGTAGGGAGAAAGAAAAGTGTGCAGACCTGACAGAATCCCTACAGAAAGTGAAATTAGACATTAGTTCATTCCTTTTATCATTTCAGATATCCAACTGGGTCATTTTCTCCACCACTCCTATGATAGGAAAATAGTCTGATTTCATACTAATATTGTAGCTATCTCTACAGTTTTGTTTCTAACTCCCATTTCCCAAAGAAACTTCTCCTTTCCTGTTAATTCTGAAACAGGGGTGGGGAACCTGCAGCCTCAAGGCCACTTGTGGCCCTCTAGGTCCTCAAGTGCAGCCCACTGAGTCAAAAGGCAGCACCCAAGGACCTAGAAGGTCACGTGTGACCTCGAGGCCGAAGGTTCCCCAACCCTTTAGAATCTAAAGGCTACTTAATGATCTACATTCTTCCTATCTTCCAGGTTCCAATCTGAAGCTAGGTCCAAGACCTTGGTCTCATCATTGTGCTATCTATCCACTGCTCTGCTCAGGATGGATCCTTTTGGGATATCAGGCTGGTGAAACAGAGTAAACCTCACACTCACGCCAAGTCATGAGTATCTGTGGCTTATTAAAATGACAGAAAAGATGCTATTAACATAGCAGCTGCTTAGTAAAAGATTAACTAACCAAAATCAGCTTTAAAATAGTACCATCTTTTCCTCTGGAACAGATGTGGTCTGAGCTTTCTCTCATCCGTTAAAACTAGAGGATTCTTCCCCCCCCCTTATCACTCTGGCATTACCTCAGATTTGTGTTTTCTTTTGGGCTCAATTCATGAGAAAAGGCAAGCATTTGTCATATGGCTGGGCTAATCTGGAGAGTGAATTTAGCACTGATATTGTAGAATGAACAAAAATGGATCTGGAGTCAGAAGACTTATTTAAGCTCTGTAACTTAACTACCTTTGTGATTTTTGTGCCTGTATTTCTCCCTCATCTGTAGGAGGATGATGTTAGCCCAGATAATTTCTAACATCCCTTCCCCTTAAGCTTTAAATTCCATGATCTTATCATGCCTAAATTAACTGGCCTTTTGTAGGAAGGATTAATTAAGAGGGCCTATACTTCAGGTTACTAGAACTGAGGTGAATAAAGTGAAATGCTAGTGCTAGCATTAGAATCTTCCTAGGAGGCTGTTCACTTCCAGAGAAATGGGGGCCACAGGGAGTGAAGGGGTTAATAAAGACACAAGGGGTCAGAATTTACCACCGTATTCACCCCAGATGCCTTCCCACCCCACAACATCCATAGAAGGGAAATGGCATTATAGTAAATCAGCAACTTTGGGTTAATTATTAGGGCAAGAAAAATCAGCTTAATGATATTGATCCTAGGTGCTATTTATATATTTTCCTTAGCAGTCAAACAAAGTCTTCCTTCAGCTATCAATCTATTCTAAGCAAGCCAGGAAAGTGATAGTTAAAACTTCCTCTGACAGGACTAACCATCCCTGGGATCCCATTCTGGGATGGAAAAGATTGTTTTCTTCTTCTCCTAGAGGTCCCTAAGCATTCCTTCCTTCCCCTTACCTTCGGACTCCTTCATGGTTTTCAATCTTGCTGATGATCTTGATGTTTTTTCCTTTCTCTCCCAGGATCTTTCTGACTGCATGGACATCATCTGCCTTTCGGATGAAAGATGCAAATACCATATCCACATCTTGCTCTAATCCAAAGTTTAGATCTTGGATATCCTTCTGAGACACAGCAGGCAAGTCTACAGCTGCCCCAGGAAGGTTCACACCCTTCTTGCTGCCCAGCATGCCACCATTCTCCACCTCAGTCATAAGGAAATCTGGACCTATCAACCAATCAATAAACATTCATTAAGTATCTACCATGTCTACCATACACACACACACACATGTACACACAAATAAACACAATGTACTATATGTACTATGTTGAGAAGGAGTACAAAATAAGAAGATAGTTCTAACTCCCAATCCACTCCAAATCTAGTTTACTTACTTATGCCCTTCCTTAGTAACAGAATGACCTCTGTTACTTTTTGCTATTCTTACCAATTATGAAAACATGTCATTTGGACAATAATTTAGCACAAAGACTCTGACACATTCATCCCTTCCCTTCAGATTCTCTATATGTTGATAAACAGAGAAGATGGTTATTTCTTATCCTTTCCCAAAGAAGTAGAAGGGCTGACTATGGAGTTAGCTGAGATCAAGTTATACATCTCATGGCTTTTTGGAAGAGAAACCACAGGCTGCCATCTAAATGCAGGACAAATTTCATACCACTCATAAGGGTTCTCCATATACTTGGGTCTAGGCTATTTTGGAGGCGAGCTTGTTGGAGCTTATGGCAACAGTATTCTACCAGACCGAGGCCGCACCCAAAGCATACCTTTCTGCTTCACAAGAAGAGAAATGAGCCCATCGTCCACAAAGATTTTGCCACCAACATCCACCACCTTGCAAATGTTTTTGTAGTCTACCCAGAGGACATTTTCATCACATTTCTCCATATAGGCATTGTCCAAGGTGACTTTGAGAGTGTTGCCCTTCTTTAGCTCCACTTCAGCTGTGCCACTCTATATATATAGGAGAAACTGACTCATTAGTCTGCTCATTAATGAGTTCACTGTATTTGGGCCTTATAAACAAAATCCCACTTCTCTCCCCAACAGGGAACAATGATTGTAAGCTAGAGACTGAGAATGCACTTGTAAATTACAGGTCACAAATCTCACCCAGCTTCACAAATGTTTTAAGATTTGTCGCAGGTACCACTAAGCTACTAGGGAATAAAAAAGCCAGTACCCCTATCAGGACATCAGATCCTTAGGAGTGAAAACCCAAAGATTCTTGGAATAATTTTGATTAAGCAAATGTTCTTGGCCTTTCTTGTATTATGGACACTTTCTCTCAGAACAATGTTTTTATATGCATAAAATAAAATACATAGGATTGCAAAGGAAATGAAATTGAAATGCAGTTATTGAAATATTTAAAAGCAAGTTCACAGCCCCAGGTTATGAACCTCTAGATTAGTGCAAATATACTCTTGTACTCTCTCTCTCTATCTGTATGGTACTAGTTACTCATCACAGAAATCGTCACCCAACTGAATGCCTATTTCACCCTGCCTTCACATCTCTGGATACTCACGCCCTTGATGAGTCCAGTTCGGATCTCTGGTCCTTTGGTGTCCAAGGCTATCGCAACAGGCCGGTATTTGACAGGATCGGAAGCATAGCTCTCTGTAGCTGTTCGCACATTTTTGATAGTCTCTGCATGGTACTAGGAAAGATAATGAAAGAAATTCAAATAAGAGCCTTAATATATACTATTACCTAGCTCTCACGTCCTCTCCTTCCCCTACCCCTATTACCTTCATAGGATTTAAAAGGCTGTTAAAGTTACAGTCATTTTAGACAGTATGTATCACTCAGGAATTAGAACATACTGTGTAAGATAAATTGTTGCCACTGCCTCTCAAATAACCCTTCCCCAGGATGGATTCTGATATAAGGGATAAGGGATATATTTTTTAAACGGAGGAGGCTCATAGGATAAGGGATAGGGGTAGGGAGACTAGTAAGTACACAGAACTAGATTACTTTTCAGAAGTTATAGAGGGAAAAAATGTGACCAATTTCAACCTTTTTGTGAAAATCTCTAGGGAAATATTACATACTGTTTCAGCTTGCAATAAAAACTGGAAGTTTATAAAAGACAAAAAAAAGGTATTATGCTTTGGTTTAGAAAATGGGGGTGTATCTATATTGACTCAGGGATGTAGAATTTTATGTCTTGAATAAATCTTATGCCTCTCAAATGTCTCCTATGTCACCTAGAGACCACTGAAGGAGGTAGAAGGAAGATTAGACAGAGTAGAAAAATGCTCTGATATCCTCTAGATTTATGAATTAGTAACCCAATGGAACAAGAAGCCCTTTAATTGAAAATAAAGAGCTATACAGGAGCTAAACTCCATAAATTACAAAACCGTGTTCCTATATATCACTGTTTTACATGGAACACCACAATGGTAGCATTATTATTGTTATGATTTAAGAAGTCTCGTCTTGTTCAAAAACCATTTTTATTTATAATTAGTTTAATTATTTGTTAGGTCTTCTCCCCCTTACCCCGTAAAGTTATATACATTCATAATAAAAAAATTAAAAAGAAAAAAGTCTGCATGTAGTGACAGTTATCACAAATTGGGTAATTAAATTCTAGTTCTTGACTAGTAAATCTGAGTAATTCTTCTCATTCTTTATTGACTTTTCACTTTTGATCAAAATGATGGCATAGTGCTCACTTTGCATGAGTTAACAAGGCCACCAACTAAGTACACCTTAATCAAAGTCATATATACCTGGGTTTCAGAGTAACAGAAAGGTAAATCACACATCCCATTCCGTTCCCATGATTATGTATGTTTAAGAGTCATTTTCTACTCAATAATCTCTTATTTTATCTTTTCAGGTCCTCTACCCCTTTTGTTTGAACTTGGGACTCAGAGGCAAGAAAAAGGTTGAAAGAGTCTTTAGAGAATGGTGTCAAAAGGAGACTGTTTGACAAGAACATTTACTTCAAATGTTGTACATACACAGTGACAGCCATGTTGTGCAATGACTAATATTGATAGACTTAACCCTTCTCAGCAATACAAGGATCTAAGACCTCTCCAAAGGCTTCACGATGGAAAATGTTGTCTACGTCCAAAGAAAGAACTATGGATTTTGAATACAAATTGAAGCATACTATATGATACTTTTTTTCTTCCGTTGTGTTTTGTTTCGTCTTTCTGGTGGTTCCTCCTATTGGTTCTAATTCTTACTTACAACATCACTAATGTGAAAATATGTTTAATAGGAATGTATATGTATTGTCTATATCAGATTGTGTGCTATCTTGAGGAGGGAGTGGGGAGGGAAGGGGAGAAAAATTTAAAACTCAAACGCTTAAGGAAGTGAATGTTGATAAATCAAAATAAATTAATTTCAAAAAAGAATACATAGATGAGAGCAGAAGTTCAGATGGGGATGATATGATGAGCACCTTAAGTGACTACCAGATTAAGTTTAATAAATTTAAAAATAAAACAAACTATTGAATAAAAATTAAAAAAAAAAAAAAGAACATTTACTTCAGCATTTTCCCACCTGCTATCTTTTATTATTACCATCCATGAAAATTCACATGCAAAGAGCTTATACAAACTCCTAATAAAATTTTATGAACAGAGTCACTGAGGGACCTCAGGGCACAGTCTCGGTGATGGATCCCAAAATTGGTATGGGACTCTAGACTCAGGTCTCCCTTCTGTTTGATCACTTAATAGACTGCTTGTTTTTGCAGTTATAGAAGGAAAAACTTCACCAAGGGCTCTATCTTCCTACATTCTACATTTAATTATGTAAAAGTAGACACTTCTGAGACCAATAGGGTGCTAAACGACATGCAAATTCAGCACTGAAACTGCTCACATGAACTGCAGGGGCAATATGCTACCATATACGTGATGAGAACACCTGTCACTCCTTAATATTAAAAAAAAAAAAAAGGTTGGGAGGCAGGGGAACTTCAGTGTGTGCTCAGAAGAGGATTTAAAATTGGCACAACTCAAAGAGTATTCCTTGGCCTTTATTCTGTGCTGCCTAGTGATCAGACCTTTGGCAGAAAGTCACACAAACTGTAAAAGGAATTTAGAGACAGCAGGTGCAGCCTCATTTTCATAATCTCAAACCTCAGCAACAGCCTTATTTCTTTTTGATTTAAAACCTAGGTCTTCTTACATTGAGAGGAATTTAATTTTTATAAAATGAGCAACCAGGGTTCTAGACTCTAAACCATTAATTAGGCTCTAGCACCATCTCTAAACTTTTCTAGTATTTAGTAGAAAAACAAATTTAAGGCAAATCCTAATACAAAGGGGAAAAGGTCTAAGATCAGTGAAAAAAACAGAAGAGATTTTGAAGTGCTGGACATTTCAAATCTATTTTAGCTCCTACACTCTACATGTAAAATATGCGCTAAGACTTAAAAGTCAAAGCCTCTAGGAGCAATCTAAGCCTCAGTAAAGCCTTTATAGTTTTCCCTTAAATGCCAAAGTAATTTCTATAAGCAGTTAAGTCTATCCCTTTGAAAGATTTCATACAATTTGTGTGTGTGTGTGTGAGAGTGAGAGAGAGAGAGAAAAACCCATGACAACTACTCAGTAGCCATCACTTGAAGTGACAGCCCACGGCTCATGACCTTTACAAGGCCAGATGCCTGCCAGGCCATAAGCTGTATATGGAATGATCCCACAATAAAAAGCCTCCTATTTCTAGATGGCAGGAGTACTCTTCCTTGGTTTCACTTCTTGTGATCTCATTCTCAGCTTGAACTTAATACCAGCTTTTAAATACCAAAGGGTGGCTATGTACAATTCATAGGTCAGCACGATTCTGCTGATCAAGGAGACCAGGAAAGTAAAGGAGAGAAAGGGGGTAAATGAGTTTGCTTTTAGGCTGCCCTGAGCCCCAGAGGTAACCAAAAGGTATGCATTTAGAATGGGTTCTGGGTGCTCCATGAACACCAGCTCCTAAAGGAAGATTGAAAATGTACCATCTTTATTTCACTGTCTAAGAACCTTCCAGAGAGATAAGCATGCTGATCAAGCTAGGAAGTTAACTATCAGAGTGTTTTAGTACAAAAGAATCAGGACAGACACCCAGTATCTAACAATGATCTTAAGGCTTCATTTTATACACCTCAAAGTGGCAAAGATGAGAAAAGATGAAAATAGTCAAGGTTGCAAAGGCTGTAGAAATATAGACACACTAACAAACTGTTGGTGAAGCTATGAATTGGTCTACTCGTAACAATTTGGAATTTTTTTCGAAAAATCTGATTAAACTCTTCATATTCAACGACCTGATTACTGAGTAGATGCCCCAAGGAGATCAAAGAAAGAAGGACCTCAATAACAAAATATTCACAGCAGCACTTTTTGTATAAATAAAGAAATGGAAAAAATGTAGGTGCCCAATAACTGGGGAATAGTTGAACAAAACTGTAGTCTATGAAGGTACTGGAATATTCTTGTTCAATAAGAAATGAGGACTATTAAAGGAATTCAGAGAAAAATGGAAGACATTATGAACTGCTGCTGAGTGAAGTCATAACCCAGAACACCTGGGTTTTAAGTCCTGACTCTGCCATTTATAGAGTAAACTCCACTCCCACTTCCATTCCCCAGGTTAGTGTTTCCTCACTGAGATTACTTTCCCTCTTCTTGTATGTTTATACTTATTTGCATATTATCTCATTATAACATGAAGTCCCTGAGAACTGGAGCCCTGTTTTTGAATTTATATATTTATATATTAGTAGAGTGCTTGGCACATAGTAAATACTTAATAAATGCATGTAAACTAACTAATAACAAGAAAAATATACTCAATGACACTAAAAGAACCCCAAACACTGAACTTTCAATTTTAACGATGAAGTTTGGTCCTGGAAGAGATAACGAACAAGACCCCATGCTTCTTAGCAGAAAGGTGGGAAGACTTATGGGGGCAGAATACTGTATATACTTGTCAGACTCAGTGACTGTATCAGTTGTTTTAAATAGTTTTCTTTGTTAAATAGGAAGGTTTAATGGAAAAGCAAGAAGAGGGGATTATCCAGAAGTGCCTCATATTTTCTTATTAATCATCACATTTTTCTTCTTTTTAAAAGATTATTGGGTGAATTGAGCAGCTCAATTTACAGGTAGGGACCACTCACCCCCCATACTCGCTAGAATCCTTACCTCATGAGTTCCATGGGAGAAATTTAGACGAGCCACATTCATTCCAGCTTCAATCATCTCTTTTAACTTGTCCACAGATCGGGAGGCTGGGCCTAAGCGACAAAAATTTTTAAAAAAAATTAATACCATTAATAGTAACTAATTATATGGTGAAAGTCATATAATTTCATAATTGCTTTAAACTTTCTTTGACATCTCTGTTATTCACCAACATCAGAACCCTGTTTCCTTTGACTCCCAGCACCCCCCCCCCCAACTTGTACTGGACCAAAAGCACTGGATAAGGCTTAGTCACAATCTAAAGAAAGAAACCTTAGACATTACCTAGTTCAACCTCTTCAGTTTTACTGATATGGAAAACTTGCTGCCCAGAGAGATGAAGTGATTGATTGTCCAAGGTCATGCATCTAGAGAGTGTCATGGCTAGGATTCAACGTCAATCCCTTGGCTCCAGACCCAGTGTTCTATAAACATTCTATGCAATGTTTGTTCTCATTGTAACACAGCTTGAAAAAGTCTCTAGGTCCAACCTACCTGTTGTACATAATACCTCCTTCAAGGAGAGTTTTCAGGGCCTTTAGGAAAAGTAACTTGTGAAGGGCAGAGCCTACAGGCTGCCTTACATATTTAATACTCAAGGGAAGAATAAATAAACTAGTCACTTCCAACATCAGTATTCTAGCTCAATTTCTTCAAGTTTTCAAATTCCTTTTTATTTTCACCAGGTATTTAGAACAAACTCCTTTTGTTACTCAGGTATGCAATTTTATTTATCTGAGTTGGGAAAATTCCTCTCCCTTTAACAGCATATGCCCTACCAAGCCTTCTTTGTGGCAAGGGAAGGTAGGCTCTGACAGCCTGTGGCAGCTGCATTGTAGCCAAGAGACTGGGACTCAAGTGAATTACACCCACTCACCAATGGTGCAGATGATACCAGTGTTTCGGGCAGTGGTGGGCTCTGAGTCGATGTCCAAACGACACATATGTTCCAGAAAAGTGTCAGCCATGGCAGCATACAGCTGCTGGTTCTGAAGAGTTGAGAATGCTACTTCACTGCCTGTTCTGCCTGGATCCATGTTGCTGAGTCAAAAGAAAGAAGAACTGAGTCAATGAGGAAAGAACACAGGCACCAGATCCTATAGCCTAACAAGTGCAGGATTAATAATGCTTGGCATGGACCCTCTCCAGGTTATAATACTAACAGGGATAAGCAATTCTACTGCCCAAATTATAGCCAACTAAGCCACGTACTGGTTATGTGGATATACTTCCCCTTGTACAGCAGTTTTGGTCAACAAAAATTTTATCTAGTAGGAGTTTAGGTTTGGAAAGAACTCTGGATGTTATTTAGGTCAACCTCTCTCCCTCCTTTGTAACATCCCTGACAGGCAATCAATCAATCAGTCTGACTGTTTTACAAAGAGAGTTCACCACTTTGTAAGGCAAAAGAATTTTGGGGCAAATCATTCTTTCCAATATCCAGTCAAAATTGGCCTCCCTTAGCTTATATACCCTGCCTTTAAAAATGAAATTATTTTACATGCACTATTGAGGTCTCCTATTAACAAAGAGCCAAAATTCTTCAGTAACAGAAATAACAACCTGTTACTTTGTTAGTTTTTAAAATTTGCATCCACGTGTAGTTTTTCTAAAAGTAGAGGCTAGAAAAGAACCCTTTGTTACCCTTTAGTTTCCTCTAAAAAAAAAAAAAGACAAAAGTCATTCTGGAGTCTAGCTACTAGCATTAGCAGTCCTAGCTACTCTTTTAGCAGCATAGCTCAAACTCAGTCACAGCTCATTAAGTGACTTAGGAGGTCATCACACTGACTCACTGACTCCTTCCCTGACCTTTACTTTTCTTCATTACAACTAAGCATTCCTGTTGGTTAAACAGTTGATCAGAGCCAAAAAACAGGCTGATAAGAGACTCTGTGGAAGTGCAGAGGCATAGTTTTAATACTCAAAATAACCCTTTTTAGCATACAAACGGAATTGCTTTGAGAGAGCAGGCAGATATGGATTTATTTAAAAGTGAAGAACATTTATCCAACAACTAGTAGATTCTGCCTATCTTAATTCCTCCAGGGATGCAGATTTCTCAGACCCAAGACACTTGTTCTAAATAAATCACATTTGATCCTCACAACAACCCTGTGAGGTAGGTACTATTATTGTTACAGATGAGGAAACTGAGGCAACCAGAAATAACTTGCCCAGTCTTTGAACCCAGGTCTTCCTGACTCCAGGTCTGTATTATATTCATTGTACCACCTGGATGACTTAAAATATTTGTGACCTTAATAATGTTGAAGTTTACGTCTTGTTGTTTAGACACCTTGTGTGTAAGTCCTTTGAGGCCCCCACAATTGAATACCCAGAACTGCTCTAGACATATGTGGTCCAAATCTGGTTGCTTTTCCCCCATCTTTGTCTACTCAAGTACCACTTCTATCTCCCCTAAAAATCTTAATTTGGACTGTGACATTAGAATCCCATTGTGGGACTTTATGCCTTTTTGTTGTTGTTGTTTTTTGGTGAGCCAGTCGGGGTTAAGTGACTTGCCCAGAGTCACACAGCTAGTAAGTGTCAAGTGTCTGAGGCTGGATTTGAACTCAGGTCCTCCTGACTCCAAGGCTGGAGCTCTATCCACTGTGCCACCTAGCTGCCCTGGGACTTTATTCTTGATGAAGAAGTTTGTTAAAATTGCTGGAAGATTTTACAAATAATTTTATCTTTTCCATTTTTCTTTTGTATGCAGTCTTCCTACTAATTTCATCCCTGAATGCACCTGAGCTATTTTGCATAGGTGGACATCCTGCCAGCTCTTTGATAGTTATTTCTTTCCCTTTGGCAAGTAAAGCAGTGCCTCATTGCTAAAGTACTTTCTGAATGAATTATTCTTTGTGATCTCTGTTGGAGCAATTTATGTGCTTCTAGATGAAATCACTATATTTTGTCAATGTCATTTCTGTTGTCCATTTCACATTTTTCTTTCAATTATGTTTAAATAATTCAAAGTTATTTCACTTATTTGTCATGTGTTTGCCATTATTCTTTACATTATTGTTTACTGATTTTATTCTAGCTCTGATGAGTCAATGATCTGATTGTATGCAGACAGCTGACTTTGATAACTTTCACATCAGTAATGAATTTTTTTCCTATTAAAATATAGACTTTCATTCTTTCACACTGTTATTCAGGGCTCATTATGTCTAGTGCCTAAGAATCCTTTCTTCAAAGGAAGCATTCATACTATAAGCCTAAGGTTTCTACAAGTCTTGGGCCTCTATCATTCCTTCTTCCCAAATCATGCTTTGCCATTCATAAAAGCTTTTATTATTATCTTTTGGCTTTTTTTTTACATTGTCACCTCAACATCACTCCCTCTTCCCTCCCAGTTTCTCATACAACAAAAGATATTGTTTAAAAAGGAAAAAAAAAACCCAACCCAACTGAACAAACCACATTTAACAAGTCCCCAAACATATGCAATTGTAACACACCTGTGGATCTCCCACTTACATGTAGGGGTAGGTGGACTGGGGGGTGTCCTCTCTTACCTCTTCATTCAAATCATGATTAATCTTTATAATTTTGTTATATCTACTTTTGATTTTTTGGTGTGTGATCATTTTTTTCATTTATATTGTTGGCTTTGCTTGTTTTACTTTTTATCAGTTCAAGTCAATCTTTTCATCATTCTCTGTAGTCATCACATACATCATTTCTTTTTTTTTTCTTTTTCTTTTTGTTTGTTTGTTTTGTGAGCCAATCAGGGTTAAGTGACTTGCCCAGGGTCACACAGCTAGTAAGTGTCAAGTATCTGAGGCCAGATTTGAACTCAGGTCCTCCTGACTCCAAGGCTGGAGCTCTATCCACTGCGCCACCTAGCTACCCTCATACATCATTTCTTACAGCACAGTAGAATTCCATTACATTCATAAACCACAATGTGTTTAGCCATTTCCCAGTCAATGGGCATCTACTTTGTTTCCAATTCTTTGCTATCACAAAACGCATCACTACAAATCCACTGACATATGTAGGGACTCTCTTCTTACTGATGGCTTCCATGGGACATAAACTCAGTAATGGAGTCTTGCCATGTATTTCTTCCCATCCTTACCTTTCTTACCAAGTGTTCAAGTCACTAATATCAGAGAGTATGTTGACAAGTTTTGGTGGGTCTTAAGCAAGTTCTCTGTAGAACTTTGCTGTAATTTTATCTGCAGCAACTAACAGCTGCAAATGCATATCAACGTACAATGAAAAAATGTTCTTTGTTGCCTCTGGGAGCATGATAAAATCTCATTCATTCTACTAACTCTTTTCTTTGCCTCTCTAACGAGTATCTGTGTGTCATCCTTTCATTTACCTACAACTTCCTTCTTTTTGTCTCATTTATAGTAAGAATATCAAGATTGAAATTATTTCAGTTCCTTTTGCAATACTGCCCACTTGGCCACTGGACAAGAAGCTCACATTTAGAGGACACCAATAGTCAAACTGAAGTTTTAGACTGGCAGTCTACTAAAAACTGATCTTTCCCCAGCAATCAGCCACTGTCACTATAGAAATAAAAGAATGCTCTAAAGACTTGTTTTTATTTGTTGAGGAATGTTTCTGGTTTGCTTTCATTTTGCCTGCAAAAGCAGTAAAAATATACTGCAAATTTCCTCAATAAAACAATTTGCAAAGTTAGTGACTATACCTCATCATGGGCAGCAGGGACATTTATCAATACCTAACTCTACATTTGAACAAAGTGGATAAGGTACCTTAGACATACATAGGGTTACATATCATAGTTAGCTTCAGGAGGAGAGAGGTCTTCTCAAGGCTATTTCACCATAAGGGTAGCACTAATCAGTTCCATAGAACTATTAGCACTGCAATCACATCCTAATATTTATAGATTTTACTACTCTTATATGTAGTCAGGCCCCAATTTGGGAAAAGAACACTTCAAATATTCTAAAGCCAGAAGTCTGACAGCAGTGGTGAGAAAACTTGAGCCAACTTCTACTAGGAAATCTTACTGTGATTAGTAACAGCCTTTCACCCCTGAACCTTACTTACCCTTGTGGGTTAGGAATACAGCACTGTTTCCCCAATGAGTACAATATAATTTTGATTTGTTATAATATTCCAGTTTACTTCAGGGAGGAGACAAACTTTGTTAATTGCTGGGTATAGGTGGTGACCATTCCAAGAGAAGAAAGAGGACAGATACATACATATATAAATATAACATAGCGGGTGATGATGTGTCATACTTTTTCCCAGAGAATAAATCAGAAGAGACCTCAGGTAATCTAGTACAATTCATATCTGAATAAACCTTTCTTCTACAGCATCAACAAGCTGATTCATAAAGCCTTAGCTTGAAGACCATTTTCCCACCCCTCCTGAGGCAACCCATTTCATTTTGGATTAGTTGTAATTGTCATCATGCTTTCCCATAACATCAACTGTAAGTTTGCTTCTGCACAGCTCCTGCACTTGATGGCCTTTCAAATACTAAAAGACATTTAGCTACTATGTCCTACCTGAATCTTCTTTTCTCCAAGTGAAATACCCCCAGTCTCTTTATTCTACTAGCTGGCCTAATTCCATTTTGTCAACACATCTCCTAAAATGTGGCATCCACAAGTGAACATAATACTCCAGATGTGGCTTGACATCAGGGCAGAGGACAGCAAGACTATTGCCTCCCTCCCTCCTTCCTTTAATAGTCTTTCTCTTTTTAATATAGCCTATCAAGATCTTTTGGGATTCTGATTGTTGTTCCAACATCCTAGCTATCGTTACCAGCTTTCTGTCATGGGAATTTTACAAGTATTCCATGTATACCTTTACCCAAGTTCTTGATAAAAATATCAAACAGCATAAAGTCAACCACAGATTCCTGGGACAATCCTTTGAAGCTGACACTGACTCGTTAATGATGCTTTGGGTCTAGCTATTAAACTCATTCCAAATCTACCTATTATCTTCATCTTTCTGTGTCTTGTTGACAAAAATAGCTAAGAAAGGCTTGGCTAAAAATCTAGGTAAAACTCCACCTACAGTATATA